AGGGAAGTCACACAAAGGGTCGGGGGAAGAAAGACAAAACTAGCAGGCAAATTATAGATCTAAGACATATAGTGGGGAAGGGGGAAGGAAAGCAGCCAAAATGGGGGGTCAGGGAGATGAGGAACACAAGGGACAATGGTGGTGGTTTTCATGGGTGATATGACAGTGGGAGATTTACGGCCGTAACACCTGAGGGGAGATAGCAAATATTGTACAAAAATGGACAACGATGTGAAAAAAGATGACTGCATTTTTAAAATTGAAATATAATTGACATATAGCATTGTATTTGCATTTTTAAAAATTCTATAACTAAGAAGAAAAAAGTCAATAGCTTAATAGAAAGTGACCAAAATCCCCATGTTTTAAAGAAATGGAAACACCATTGTTTCTTAAATATATGAAAACATGTTTCAGTCTCATTCATGGTAAGAAAATGTAAATTAAACCACACTTTGGTTTGCCCAATGAATTGGCAAGATCAAATCAGGGTAAGGAGAACATTTCTGATTAGAGTATAAACTGTTAACAAATACCATGAAAGGAAATGTGTATCAGAATGAATAAGAAATGCATATACTAGTAATTCTACTTTCTTTCTTTGAGATGTATAGCGTGTGTGTGTGTGTGTGTGTGTGTGTGTGTGTGTGTGTGTGTGTGTGTGTGTGTGTGAGAGAGAGAGAGAATGAATTAAAGAAACTGAGTATTTGGGTAGAAAGGAGGACTTCCATTGTATTCCCTTTTGTTCTTTTTGGATTTTGAACCATCTGAACATATTACCTTTTCAAATGATAAATTAAAAAGGAATTAGCAGCTTTTACAACTCACTTTTCTAAGTTACAGGATGCCTTTGTAAAACCTACTCTTGTGAAAGACAAAATAGGAATTCTTTAGTGGCTTGGCTTCCATTGCTACCCAAACAAAATCTACCTTCGGTCATGAACGCCAAGCCTCAGTGTACCTCCCTGACCCCATCATCTAACATTACCTTCTCATTCATCATGCTTTAGTCACTCCTGCCTTTCCTTTTATTCTGTTGAACACATCAGGCTCTTTTCTCAGCCTGGAAAGCTCTTTCTTCCCTCATATCTTTTCATAACTGGCTTCTTTTGTCATTTAGGTATCCTATTAAAGGCAATATCCTCAGAGAGACCTTTCCTGACCCCAGACCCAAAACTAGCCTTCACATCTAGCCTGTTCCTCTCATGCATCAACCTATTTTATTTTCTTCTTCATTGCCACTACCTGAAATTACCTTGTTTTTATTTCTTCTCTTGTTTACTGTCTTCCCCACTAGAAGTTAAGCTCAATGAAAAACCAGCATTTCTTATGCTTAAGTGGTATCATAAAAGGCGCTCAATAAATATTTGTTCAATAAAATTGATGTCAATAACTGGATGATAACTATATTCATTGTCTTTTGGGATCAAATTTTTTCTTAATGAGTTCTAGTTAAGAGGTTAAAGTTTTTAAAATTAGTTGAATAAGTAACCACTACTGGAAACCAGGCAGACATTTCAAAAGAGAAAAACCAATAGTACATCTCACTCTAACTTTAAAGAACTTGTTTTAAAAACCCAAACTCTTTGATTTTAAAAAAGGAAATCCAAGAAACCTAGGAGAAAAAAGATACTTGAGGGTTAAATGGGGGAGTTCTTGAACCAACAAAACAATGGTAATATAAACACATTTTCCAGAAAAAGTCAACCTTGGTTATAGGAAGAACAATAATAGCAGCTATGAGGAAGTCAGGCTACACTTCTAAAATATTTCAAGTTAAATTTTATACCAAAAATTTTTTGACTAAATTGAGGCAGATTCTTAGTATTTACTTAGATTTGACCTATAATTTTCATATTTGACATGCTGTTATTTTCTTAACACACAGAGAAAAAGAGAAAAATTGGTTAACATAAACATAGCTACATAAACAAATAAAAGCACAGGTACACATACATCTTTAAATCAGGGCTAGAAACCTAAATTTCGCCTCTGTCAAGCTAAGATGTAGAACATATTTTCTGCTACAGCCACTTTCTAATTAAGAGTTAAACTGTCCCTGCGACTGTTATATATAAAGAGAATTCAGAAGCAAGCATGGTATTATGTATGCATGTCAGCACCTTATGCCTTTGTACATAAAAAGGCTATTTTTTCTTTCTCCTCAATCTAAGTGTAACGAGTTAAGAGGTTTTACAGAAAATCTCTGATTAGGAAGCCTCATCCAGACAGTCAAGATGAAGATGAACAATATACGTGAAAGAATCTCAAGTCACAGAAAGCAGTGGGATAAGCACAATGCTCTCACTGATTCCCAAACCTCAGTGTGTGCTGTTTACAGCCTTATAGCCTTTCTCTACAGGCTATAAATAGTTACAAAGTGTCCTTGTCCCCAAGGAGCCCTTACAGAAGCTTAAAGGCTAAAATATGGAATAGTTCTCACTTTGAATATAACTTTTCCAGTTAGCAAAAAGTCAGAGAACATTAAAAATTATTGCCAATTTAAGTTAAGGGCTAGGGAATCTACTCCCTTGCCTTAAAAACTATTCTTTACGTAAGAGTTGTTGATACAGACACATGAACATAATTCCCCCCACCAAAAACATGTCCCATGAGAATACAATGCCTGCGCTGCTCCAAGTGCAAAGGTCCCAGGTCTGTCCTAGAAAGGGGCAGGTGCCAACGGCTTCCAGGATTGCTTCCCTTAGCTCTTCCAAAGATGTTCTGAGTTTTTGTTTTGCTTTTTAACATAGGCACAAGTGGTCATTAGGCTAAATACATCTATATTACAACAACTAGGCAGAAAAATTAAATGGAGGTTCCTGCAGGACCAACCATGGCTGCAACCAGCACAGGTTCAGAAGCTGTGGGTTAATACCATGAAGTGATGTTGCAGCACATCAGGTCACAGCTATGCTACTGTTGTTAATTACAGACTCTCTGCTAGGAGGGACAAAACCAAACCCTCCAACCACTTTAAAATACACACAAACAAAAAGACAGGGTTCATCAGGTTAAGTTTCTCCTCACATCACTGTCAAAATCCATCACTTGGGAGATGTCTGAATGGAACAACATTAATCCAAATCAGCAAACAAACCATATTACTAAGGGGCTATTCACTCCAAAGTGGATCTCAATTCCAAAGGAAAACACCTTTAGAAATGAAGTTAGATAGGCAGAACCAAACAATCAGCAACTTCTCTCTTCTCACAAATTATAACAGTGTGTTTCGTCCACAGACCGGCTTTGGCAAAAATCTCTAGGGCCACAGAGAGCAAACTTAGGAAAGATGAAGATTTTAACACATCCCACGTGTTATCAGATTTCTCCTCTAGGTTGGAAAAATTTATTCTAAAATAAGAGCTTGAACAGAATTTAAAAGGAGAAGGAGGAGGAAGAGGAATATAATCTTATGACTAAGAAGATTCTATTTATTATATAGTCGTATTCCCAAAGCTGTTCTGAGATGGAGGTTATGGTATTTCTCCTTTTCCCCTCAACTATAACTATGAAGAACCTTATAAAATTCAAATAGTAAACAGGTGAAAGACTTGGGCTAAACACAAGCATGTCCAATCTGCAAAGAATTAAAAAAAAACAGATCATTTCATGAAATAAATAGGCAAAGGTTGCATAACCCCAGAGGGTCATTGGCCTTTAATAGCAATCAAATTCAAATTCTTGCTAACACAATTTTGCTACAAAAAAAGGGCCCAAAGAATGCATAGCAAATAAAGTCTAAATTGGTGTTAGAGTATACAATTTAGAATAAGCTCATTAACTCAGAAGCTGAAAAGGCACACCTGCCCTAAAGGATTTGGTACACTACACAAAGGAAACCAATGTTGTTTAGTACTAACTACTACTGTCGAGCAGCACAAAATTCAATATTCTCTGGAGATTATTTTCCTTGTGACAGACACCTAAGCCTCCCACTATGAATGAGAGATGAAAATACATGTATGCTTTAATTTTTCTCCTTCAACTATAGTCTTAATTGAAGAAATCTGATGACTGTATACATCTACCCTGGAAGCCAATGCAGAAAGTAAATTCTCTGTCCTTTTAAAGTTATTAAGAATAAGCTAATATCTATGATAATAGTAACATTCTAAAGGTAAATGGGACAAAGGAAATTCTCAGATTTAAGTGTTATTCTAAAATTCATGATCTAAGGAAAAAGTAAAACCATCAGACACACAAAACAGGAAAAAGTTATGCAGAATGTCTGTTTTTACAGAAATTCCCTGCCTCCCAATGATTTATATTAGAAATTAAAAGATTAACATGCAGTAAAACCTATTTTTACCCAGTAAAACTCTGTAACAACCTATAAAAACACATTTAAAGCCAGAACTTCATACCACAAAGTAAAAAATTTACAACGCTATCCAGAATAGTAAAGATTTTAAGTTACCTATAGAGAGATGAGATCTAAGGTACATACACAAAGGCTCTAATCAGAATCAAACTCCTTTTACAGAGTAAAATCAAGCCAATGAATTGCTTTAAGGTATTTTCTTTTGTAAGATCTAATTCTAATTTGCCTGAAGATTTTTTCTAGGGAGAAAAACAATCTTACATTATGGTCTTTATATCACATATCACCATAGAGTAAAAACAAAAATCCAAACATCTTCCTTCCCTTCCACCATTAGTGTAAAGCCTTATCACATACACAGTTTTCTCCAGAGATGATATGAACAAATAGCTCTGGTTTGATCCAGGAAAGAGTATTAGTCTAAAACTTCTTCTGAAGTCACTCACGAAAAAGATTTCCTTAATCCAATGTTCATTATTAAAACGAAACCAAAAAACTAACATGCTTACCTATGTGACTTCCAACTTTACATACAATTTGTATTGAAATGAAGCAGAAGCTATACTCAAAAGTGTGCATTTTTTAAAGTCGTGGTGAATATTTCTATGCATTTCATTGCACTTTTCTCCCCAATGCTTTTAAACTGTGCTTAAAGTAAAACTGTGCAAAAACTCACCAAGTTAAGTCAGTAGAAAGACTCTAATTTGTCTTGTTTAACAGGAAACCTCTGTTGGAAATAGAGATGATGAATCAGACTTAACTACATTTTGAAATCTCATAAAAGTCTTTACTTACTTTGACTATTCTGAAAAGGGAAAATTTTATAAAAGCAGTTGATATATTTGCTATTTTACTAGTCAAAATTGACATTCTCATCACCACCTTAATAATCTCCCATATGCGACAAAGTGACAAAATGAAAACAGATATAAGAATGGTTGCAAGGCTCTGGGAGTCTAACTGAAGCAGAAAATCCTATCTTCCCTTTTGTGGGAAATGAATTACTGAATACATAATGGATGATTCTTTAAAAACAGAACCTTTTCCAGGCCCTACCTAGTGGTGCAGTGGGTTAGGATGCAGCACTGCAAGCCGGTCGCAGCTGCTTCAGTGCAAGTTCAATCCTCAGCCCCAGAGGTGACCCACATGGTGCGGCAGACCTCTCCTGTCTCGTCCGCTGCTCCCCTCAGCAGTGTACTTCGTTGATCTGCCTATTCTGCTCCCTACTCTGATTCAGGTGAACCTCACAATGCCCTGTATCTCTGGCCTGTACCCCAGTTCTGTATGCATAAAATGAATAAATCTTAAAAAAACAAAACAAAACTGCTTTGGTGCCAGAGCAATTTCATCACTTATTAAAAACAAACAAACAAAAAAATGCAGAACCTTTTCCTTAAAATGTAAACACTATTTTTAACGGGGTATAACAGTACAAATAAACTCTTATTTTGATAAACCAAGTTTGGCTGAGTCCTCAGCAAAAACTGTCCTAAACTACTAATGTTAAAATGTATAGTCTTGATGAGATTTAAGAGTAGCAAGAACCAGGTCAAATTCATTTAACAAATTACCTACTGAGCACCAAATGTGCAAAGGTATTCTTTAAGAGACAGGAGACAGAGACAGAGACAGACAGACAAGAGAGGAAGACAGAGAGGTGTGTCTACCTTTTGAGGTGTCTACCTTTTAATAAAATACTTTTAAGACTTCTTAAGTAACTTCATTGGCAAACGATATCAATCTGCTTTTAACAGAAAAGGCTCCAAGTATCTGTAATTAAAAACCCAGTAACTTTAGTCCTTTTACTCTAATTTTTAAGGGTCAGGTTTTAGTTTCTCAGTTAATCTACTGGAATTTTTAGCCAGAAAAAAAGTATCTAAAGAAATCTAAAGAATTGGCAAAATCTAAAGGATCCAACAATATTGGTCAGGATGGGGAGGAAGAGGGCTAGTTTTACACTGCTGGTAGGACAAGTCAGCACACTAATAAAACTAAAGATCTAGTAAGTTCACTCCCAAATAAGGCCTGGAGAAGCTCCTGCACTTGTCCATCAGCACACCACACACACAGGAAAGTTCGTGGCAGCATTGTTTGTCACAGCCAAAGACATCAACAGTAAAATTGATACATAAATTGTGATAGATTCATATAACAGAATGCCATAAGGCAACAATAATAAACTTCAGTTCTATATAACATAGATAAACATTAAAAACATAGTGTGAGGTTCTGAAAGACACAAAAGAACATGTATATTATTTCTCCGTTTACGCAAAGTTAAAAAACAGACATAACTGATACTGGTCAGCAATGAATCCTACATAGAAAGCCATTTTTAAAAGGAGATGATATCACAAATGTCAGAATAATGACACTGCTGAGCAACAGTATTGGTTATAGTTTAGAAGTGACACACAATGCAAGCAGCTTCCTTGCCAATGCAAGGACATATCTCTAGGTCTAACTGATGGTTATACAGGTATTTGCATTTTATAGTTAATCTTTATACAGCTATATTTTGTATATTATTATATTTAGTAATAAAAAATCAAAAACACAATCAAAAAATAGAGTATGTGTATGTACATGTGTATATAACTATGTATTCCTCCAATGCCTAAGAAGGAATACAATATCATACATAAAATACACCTTTTTCTTTTTTTCAAGACAATTCTGGATGAGAATTCAGTAAAAAAGCAGAGCCAGGAACGAGTATCTGTAAACCAACAAATATTTAAACCTATACATTGACTATTCACCAGAGGCCATTGTTAATATCCAAATTATTATCACAAACAAAAGCTTTTGAAAAAGCAGTCAGGATACAAACATTTCTTGAATTACCTTTTTAATAGAATCCTCTGAATAGCCTCCAATGATTTTCTATCTCACGCAGAGCAAAAGTCAAAGTCCTTACAATGGCTGAAAGGTCCTGCACAATCTGGACCTGATTCCCCACCTCTCCAGCCCCATCTCCAATTACATTCTCCTGGACTCACCATGTTCCAGCCACTTCACCCTTCTCGAGAGTCCCTCAGGCAGAACAGATCAGTTCTTGCTTCAAGGCTCTGTTCTTATCGTTTCCTCTACCAGGTAAGTCTTCCCTAGACAGTCTATTGGCGCACTCCCTTACCATTGTTGAGCCTCTGTGAGCCCTTCCCTGACACCCTTAAAAATGTGATTCTGTCCCCACTTCATTATTTTTTTCTGTAGCACAAAGTCCTCTATTATACTGCATCTGGAATGTAAAAATGAAGATGCTTATCTGTTTTGTTGCTGCACCTCGACAGTGTCTAGAAAGCCAGAAATAAACACTTATTTAATAAGTGATTGAATTAATCCCCATTTTTGGATTTCTGTCCTTGAAAAATTAGACAGTAACTTAATATATTAAACAAAACAACAATCAAGTATTTCCCCTCTCTGTATGTCAAATTTATTAAAAGATTTTTAATAACACACTTCAAGTTATGTTTTCATTAGCATTAATGAATTACAGGTGAGAATTATAAAAAGTTGATATAACTAAACAGAACATTCCCCTACCATAGGTACACTGCAAGTTTTAAAGATAACAACGCTGGGAGAACCCAGAGACTCTAACTCTCCCCTATTGCTAATGTGGTCCTGCACTGGTGTCATCACTGTGGGAACCACCTGACAAGATGTAGCATGAAGACAGGGATTGCCTCTGTTAGTAATACTTCTTATTACTTTTTTTTTTAAAATGAGCGTGTTTTATATTTATAGTCAGAAAAAAGGTGTTTTTAAAGAAAGAATTATATAAAATATAATTTCAAGAAGAAAGTTTTTTTTTTATTTTCTTATGTCTCCAACAGAAGCAATAAAAGCATCTGTTATATATCTAGATGAAATATCCTGAGAGGGACTACAGTAAGAAAAACAATTATTTTTTACTTAAGGACTAAAAACTGTTGTGTTTCCACAGAAGGAAAATGAAAAAATCACGGGTTGGTGTTACATACAAAAACATAGTTTTATTCTGAAGAAGCACTTAAATTAGGAACATTTCTCTGCAGCATAAAATGTGGGTTTGATGTGATAAAAAAGCAAGTTTAAAGAGCAAGTAAAGAACTTCATTCAAAGTTAGTGATTACAGCAGCATAAGGAAGATAGTTCATTAAACAAAACTGCTTACTGAGTGAAGAGAGATACTTCTGAGATTTACACTTCACCCAAGTTTAAAGTCAGAGTAAGCCTAAATGCAAAAGTTATTTTTTAACTAGGGCATCTGGTAATCTAATTTCATTAAGTACTAAGATTTCCCATTTTAAGGCCTTATCCATTAATGAAAATTAAAGTTTATACATTCTCAAACTCTTAAAGATAGTTGTTATATTCAATATTTGAGTATATCAGGAATATACAGACATATCTCTAGGATACTGCAGGTTTGGCATCGGTGCATGAAGTATTTCAGTAAGTTAAAACATGTATGTTTGCCACACTCAACTTGTAAAAATGTAATTATCTGCAAAGCTCAATAATGCAAAAGCACAATAAACCAAGGTATGCTCGTATATTCATTTTGAGGCAGCTATCCCAACTATTTAAGATGGAAGTCCTATTCAAAACACTTGCAACAGGCTGAGTGTATTATGAAAGGAGAACAGTTTTCATTTGTAGCACTTCAGCATGCCAACTACTCAAAAATTCTGAATAGGATCCCTGAGTTAAAGGGAAACAAAATTTAAAAGTATACTCAAACTCACAAATCATGAAGAAAGAAAGTATCATGGGTTAAAGACACCAAAAACTTTATAAAATGAAAGTCACTAGTCATGGAAACATGGTCCTAAACAGAATTTATAATAATTCTAATCTAAGGTGACATATTTTTAAAAATGCTTTATTTAGCTAAGAAACTTTCTTCTAGTGAGTGGGAAATATTGTAAGACTTAAAAAGTAGTTTTACTTAAAGGGAAGCTACATACAAAAAAATGAAACTAGATCACCACCTCACACCACACACAAAAATCAACTCGAAATGGATTAAAGACCTAGACATAAGAAAGGAAACCATAAAATGCCCGGAAGCAAAGATGGGCCAAACACGACACGACATACACTTCAGCGACGTCTTTAAAGATAGAGCACCCAATGCAACGATAGTGAAGGCAAGGATAAATAGACTACATCAAGTTACTGTACATCTTCTGTACAGCAAACGACACATTATAAAAAACAGAGACACCCCACTGATTGGGAAAAAATTTTCTCACACAAAACTAGCAATAAAGGATTGATCACAAAGATATATACAGATGAAACTCAACAAAATAAGCAACCCCGTCAAAAAATGGGCAGAAGAGCTAAAAAGACACTTCTCCAAAGAGGAAATGCAGATGGCCAACAAGCATATGAAAAAATGTTCAATATCACTTGTAATAAGGGAGATGCAAATTAAAACCACAATGAGATACCACCTCACCCCAGTGAGAATGGCACATCTTCAAACAACTAGCAACAACAAATGTTGGCGAGGATGTGAAGAAAAAGGAACTCTCCTGCATTGCGGGTGGGAATGCAAACTAGTACAACCATTATGGGAAAATGTTTGGAGGTTCCTCAAACTGCTAACATGGAGCTTCCATATGACCCAGCAATCCCACTCCTAGGTATCTACCCAAAAGACACAAAAACACTGATTCAAAAAGATACCTGTACCCCCATGTTTATTGCTGCTTTATTTACAATTGGAAA